CTGGAACTATCTAAACTGGCAACTAAATCGTATCTCAGTTGACAGTTCTCTGCGTCCTTTTGCAGTAGCCCCATTGAATGAATGGGATTGATGTAAGCACATCATTCAGCAACTTGTCTAGGGTGCATCTGTATTGCAGAATGAAGGCAGTCTGATATCGCCATGGTTCAATAGTATGGAATCCTGGGATTTGTAGTTTACTGAGGCACCGGAACAGGCAGAAGAAAGTGAAAGACCTTGTACAGATACATGTATACATGTCCCAAGATAGCTCATTGTGTATACATTGCTTAAGTTGGATACAATGTTGGAGGTAGACTTAAGATTCCGAAAGTTAGCAAGATCCACGCCAGATCCAAGGGGTATAAAGATGATGATGATGATGATGATGATTATTATTATTTTACTGACACAAATCACAGTATGTCACAGCAAATGAGATCTCTATGCTGGATTTCGTATCACAAAACCACAAGTTGAACACTTCCCAAGCATCTAGGACTGTGTGATGTATTTTTGAATGATGTATGCAGATACAAGTCAGGTGGCCTTTTGCAGTTGACAGATTGTGATTTTATCAATGTTTATTGTTTCCAAATGCCAGCTGAGGTCTTTTGGCATGGCACCCAGTGTGCCAATGACCACTGGGACCACTTGTACTGGTTTATGCCAGAGCCTTTGCAGTTCGATTTTGAGGTCCTGATAACGGCTGAGTTTTTCCTGTTGTTTTTCCTCAATGCGGCATGATCCCACCGGTTCTTTACTACTGGCAGGTGGTCCTTGTGACATAAGTTCCAGTGAATCATTTGGGCCACAGAGTTGTGTCTCTATTTGTAGTCCATTTGTGTGATTTTCTTGCAGCAGCTGAGGATACGATCCATGGTTTCATCAGCTTCCTTGCACTGTCTGCATTTTGGGCCATCTGCTGATTTTTCGATCCTGGCCTTAATTGCACTGGTTCTGATGGCTTGCTCCTGGTCTGCAAGAATCGTGCCTTCTGACTCCTTCTTCAGGGTTCCATTCGTGAGCCATAACCAGGTCTTCTCCTTGTCCACTTTTCCTTCAATTTTGTCAAGGAACTGCCTGTGCAATGCTTTGTTGTGCCAGCTCTCAGCTCTGGTTTGGAGTGCAGTTTTCTTGTACTGTTTTTTGTCTGCTGTGTTTTGAGAAGTTTCTGATTATTGACTTCAATTAAAGCAGATTCTTGGCTTTCCTTTACATATTCTGCCAGGGCGTGTTTTCTTCTTTGACTTGTACTTGTAAGAGTCCTCTGCCACCAGACTTTCTAGGCAGATAGAGCCGGTCAACATCACTGCAAGGCTATTATTATTATTATTATTATTATTATTATTATTATTATTAGGTTAATTTCAATACAATCCATATCAAACCCAGAATTATTTGAGCTCCTTCTGCCTCCACCAGGTTGGGGGTGGCTTGTAAATGAGTTTGCTAATTGGATCATTAGGTTATGAAATAGCTCCATCACAATTCCTGGGCTATTTGCTATAATTACATCCCATTGTGGTGGCCTTTTACATTTGCTTCCCCAAAGCTCCAGTGTCTGCCTATTATTTCCATCTCTTCATCCGGACATGTTTTTCCAAATGCCAAGGTCTCAGCCTTGTCGTGTCAAAATTCCGAAGGCCTTGGAGCTTGGAATGGACTTCCTCGTTGCTTGTGCAAATCACAAATCCATATAACTCTTTTGCAGCTGGCAGATGGTAATTTTGTCAGCACCGATTGTGTTTAAGTGCAGGCCAAGGTCTTTAGGCACTGCACTTAGTGTGCTGATCACCACTGGGACCACCTTGACTGGCTTGTGCCAGAGTCTTTGCAGTTCGAGCTTTAAATCCTCATATTGTGTCAGCTTTTCCAGTTGTTTCTCTTGAATTATTATTATTATTATTAATAATAATAATAATATTACATTTTAAAATCAACTGGAAAAGTATATTCAGCAAGACCATCCCTAATGAATTGGGACAGTTGGAGGTTATGCACATTGCACTTTCCAAACAAAAAGAAGTCCGGTCTCGTTTTATTCTGTGTGTGTGTGTGAAGTGGGGAAAACCTCCTGCCTCGCCATAATGCATCCACCTTACGCTCTCTAAAGAGCAATGAGAGGTTGCCTTCAATAAATATTTATGAGGATTGGTGTAATGAAACGAGCTTATTATCCACAAGTTCCCCGAGGGCCTCAGCATCGAAAGGTTTCCCTTCCTCTCCCTCGAACGGCGCGGAATTGCCCTGATATCTCATGAATTGTTGAGCAAATTGCGTATTTTGTTGTTCACTTATATGAGGTCGGCTATTAAAGGCAGCCAGCTGCTCCGCCTTGGCAGGGCTCACCCAGACAGAATGGGCGGCTGGCGGTGGGGACATCTCTGTGTATTTGTCGCTTTCTGTATTGTGAGCAGGTTTTATAACACAGACATCCCTCCATATCCACGAATCTTGTATCCAGGGAGAACTACCAAACACGCTATCCAGTAGGTTTGAATAGCCATGGTCAGTGCTCATTGGTCTTGGCTAGCCTGGGTCAGTGTCCATTGAGATTGCTTAGCCTTGGTCAGTGTCCAGTGGTCTTGATAGCATTCGTATATGACTGCTGTACTTGGCTAGGTCTGGGTCAGTGTGTGGTGATCATGGTTAGCTTGAGTCAGTACCCAGTGGTCTTGGCTAACCTTGGACAATATCAATTGAGCTTGACTAGCCTGAGTTTGTGCACACTGAGCTTGTCTAGCCTGGATCAGTGTCCATTGGTTTTGAATGGCTTGGGTCAGTGCCTGGTGGTCTTAGCTAGCTTGACTCAGTGTCCATTGAGCTTGACTAACCTTGGTCAGTATTAGGTGGTCTTGACTAGCTTGAGTCAGTGCCCATTGTGCTTGGCTAGCCTTGGTCAGTGCCTGGTGGTCTTGGCTACCCGTGGTCACTGTCCAGTGGGATTGTCTAGCCTGAGTCAGTGTCTGGTGATCCTGGCTAGCCTGGTTCAGTGCCCAGTGTCCTTGGCTAGCCTGGGTCAGTGACTGGTGGTCTTGACTAGCATGGGTCAGCGCCCATGGGGCTTAGCTAGCTTGGATCAGTGTGTGGTGGTCTTGGCTAGCCTAGGTCAGTGCCTGGTGGTCTTGACAAGCTTGAGTCAGTGTCCATTGAGCTTGACCAGCCTTGGTCAGTATCTGGTGGTCTTGGCTAGCCTGGGTCAATATCAATTGAGCTTGACTAGCCTGAGTTTGTGCACATTGGGCTTGGCTAGCCTGGTGGTCTTGAGTCATTTTCCATTGGGCTTGGCTAGTCTTGGTCAGCGCCTGGTAGTCTTGTCTACCCTTGGTTGGTGTCCAATGGGCTTGGCTAGCCTGGGTCAGTGCCTGGTGATCTTGACTAGCTTGAGTCAGTGTTTAATGAGCTTGACTAGCCTTGGTCAATATCTGGTGGTCTTGACTAGCTTGAGTCAGTGTTCATCGGGCTTGGCTAGTCTTGGTCAGTATCTGGTGGTCTTGGCTAGCCTGGGTCAGTGTCTACTGAGCTTGTCTAGCCTGGGTTTGTGTCTGGTAGCCTTGGCTAGTCTTGGTCAGCACCTGGTGGTCTTGACTAGCTTGAGCTTGACTAGTCTTGGTCAGTATTAGGTGGTCTTGAATAGCTTGAGTCAGTGTTCATTGGACTTGGCTAGTCTTGGTCAGCACTTAGTGGTCTTGACTAGCTTGAGTCAGTTTCCATTGGGCTTGGATAGCTTTGGCCAGTGCCTGGTGTTCTTAGTTGGTGTCCAGTGGGCTTGTCTAGCCTGGGTCAGTACCTGGTGGTCTTGACTAGCTTGAGTCAGTGTCCATTGAGCTTGACCACCCTTGGTCAGTATCTGGTGGTCTTGGCTAGCCTTGGTCTGTGTCCAGTGGGCTTGTCTAGCCTGGGTCAGTGTCTGGTGATCCTAGCTAGCCTGGGTCAGGTGCCCAGTGTCCTTGTCTATCCTGGGCCAGTGCCTGGTGGTCTTGGCTGCCCTTAGTTGGTGTCCAATGGTCTTGGCTAGCCTGGTGGATCAGTGCCTGGTGGTTTTGACTAGCTTGAGTATGTATCCATTGAGTTTGACCAGCCTTGGTCAGTATCTGGTGGTCTTGGCTAGTCTGGGTCAGTGTCCATTGAGCTTGTCTAGCCTGGGTTTGTGTCTGGTGGCCTTGGCTAGCCTGGGTCATTGCCTGGTGGTCTTGGCTAGCCTGGGTCAGTGTCCATTGAGCTTGTCTAGCCTGGGTTTGTGTCTGGTGGCCTTGGCTAGCCTGGGTTATTGCAGGGTGGTCTTGGCTAGCCTGGGTCAGTGGCTGGTGGTCTTGGATAGCCTGGGTCAGTGTCAATTGAGCCTCGCTAGCCTGGGTCAGTGCCTGATGGTCTTGGCTAGCCTGGGTCAATGCCTGGTGGTCTTGGCTAGCCTGGGCCAGTGCCTGGTGGTCTTGGCTAGCCTGGGTCAGTGCCTGGTGGTCTTGGCTAGCCTGGGTCAGTGCCTGGTGGTCTTGGCTAGCCTGGGTCAGTGCATGGTGGTCTTGACTAGCCTGGGCCAGTGTCCATTGAGCATGGCTAGCCTGGGTCAGTGCATGGTGGTCTTGTCTAACCTGGGTCAGTGTCTGGTGGTCTTGTCTAGCCTGGGTCAGTGGCTGGTGGTCTTGGCTAGCCTGGATCAGAGTCCATTGAGCTTGGCTAGCCTGGGTCAGTGCCTGGTGGTCTTGGCTAGCCTGGGTCAGTGGCTGGTGGTCTTGGCTAGCCTGGATCAGTGTCCATTGAGCTTGGCTAGCCTGGGTCAGTGCCTGGTGGTCTTGGATATCCTGGGTCAGTGCCTGGTGGTCTTGGCTAGCTGGGAGCAGAGGAAGGGGCTCTTCCTGCTTCCTCCTTTGGCCCAGAAGGCGACCCTCCGGGCGGTAAGGAAATCCCACCTGTCTTGGGAGAAGGCGGGCGAGCTGTGCGTGTGCCTAGTGTGCCCAGGCCCGAGCGTGCAAGGGAGGGAGGGTGGGGGGCGTGCAAGGGGGGCGCGCCTGCTCGCCTCCGTCCCCTTCTCCGCCTGCGCCCAGCCTCCGCATTGTTCTCCCCTTCTCCCTTCTTCCTCCTCCTCCTCTTCTTCCTCCGCGCAAAGATGGCGAAGTCAGCCTGGCAGCCTCGCCGCCCGCTGCCTCGGGGGCAGCTCTAGGACCCCCGCCCGGAAAGAAGGGGCCACCCCCATGGCGACGGGAGCCCCGCTTGGCCTCGCCACCCTCCTGGCCCTGACCTTGGCCCTGCCAGGTAAGCCCCCTCCACTTGGACTTCCCATGCAAAGCAAGCAACTGGGATGATTCTTTTTGTTCTGGGAGGGAGCCGGGAAAGAAAGGCTGTGGAAGGTGTGGAAGGAAGAAAGAGCGTGGGAGCAAAAAAGGGGGATTCCTCTCCCTAAAGGACCCACGAATGGGAAAAGGACCCATTGGCAACACTGTTGGGGGATCAGGCAGAGAAAAGGAGGGTCTCCCCTTCCTTCTCTTCCTTCTCTTTTCCTTCTCCTTTCCTTCTTCTTCTTCCCCGCGTGTCCGCGTCCCTGATGATTGCAAACAGGTGTGTGGCTCCATGGGAAAAGGGGCTATTGTTGGCGGGAGCGCGCCTCCTGGAGAGGAGATGGCCTCGTGCGCGCGCACTCCCCCCCCCACCCGGGAGCCCCTCTGCTCGCCTCTTCCCCAGAAAGGGACTTCCCATGCAAGATGCCTTTTCTCTGGACTTTCTCTTTGAATCATAGCATCACAGCGTTGTATGTGTTGTAATGTATTTTCTGGTGGTGGAGGCTCCTTCTTTGGAAGCTTTTAAACAGAGGCTGGATGGCCATCTGTCAGGGGTGATTTGAATGCAATATGCTTCTTGGCAGAATGGGGTTGGACTGGATGACCCATGAGGTCTCTTCCAATTCTATGATTCTATGATTCAAGGGTCATCCAGTCCCACCCTCCTCCCAGGCAGGAAAAGCACCATCAAAGCACCCCCAACAGATAGCCATCCTTCCTCCAAGGAAGGAGCTCCCACTGGACTCCAAGGAAGAGAGTTCCGCTGTTATAGAATCACTATCTGTCCCCTGCCATTCGTTGCTGTGGCCCAGTCTGTGTATATGTGTTTTGTGTATATTCATGTGTATGTATTTGTGTATATGTGTACATATGTGGTTTTGTGCATGCGTTGTAATGTATTTTCTTTTTTTTTGGCTTTTTAGGTCTCTTCTGTTGTGTTTTTCAGTGTTTCTATGAGTGATGGTCACTCGCTGACCTGAAAGGTGTATTGTGTCCAAATTTGGTGTCAATTCGTACAGTGGTTTGTGAGTTATGTTAATCCCACAAACGAACATTACATTTTTATTTATACTAGCTGTCCCCTACCATGTGTTGCTGTGGCCCACATGGGGGTTCTGTGTGGGAGGTTTGGCCCAATTCTATCATTGATGGGATTCAGAATGCTCTGTAATTGTAGTTGAACTATCAATCCCAGCAACTACAACTCCCAAATGTCAAGATTCTATTTTCCCCCAAACTCCACCAGTGTTCACATTTGGGCATATTGAGTATCCATGCCAAGTTTGGTCCAGATCCATCATTGTTTGAGTCCACAGTGATCTCTGGATGGAGGTGAACTACAACTCCAAAACCAAAGGACACTGTCCACCAAACCCTTCCAGTATTTTCTGTTGGTCATGGGAGAACTGTGTGCCAAGTTTGTTTCAATTTCATCGTTGGTGGGGTTCAGAAAGCTCTTTGATTGTAGCTGAACTATACATACCAGCAACTACAACTCCCAAATGACAAAATCAATTATTGTGAGTGAAGGACATACATTGGGTTGTTAGGTGTCTTGTGTCCAAATTTGGTGTCAATTCGTCCAGTGGTTTTTGAATTCTGTTAATCCCACAAATGAACATTACATTTTTATTTACATAGATAGAATCATAGAGTTGAAAGAGATCTCATGGGCCATCCAGACCAACCCCATTTGACCAACAAGTAGGAAAATTACATTCAAAGCACTCCTGACAGATGGCCATCCAGCCTCTGCTTAAAAACCTCCAAAAATGGAGCCTCCACCACACACTGGAGCAGAGAGTTTCACTGCTGATCAGCTCTCACAGTCAGGAAGTTCTTCCTCATATTCAGGCGGAATCTCCTTTCTTTCCTATAGTTTGAAGCCATTCCTCCATTGTGTCCTAGGACAGGAGAAAACAGGACAGGAGAAAACAAGCTTGCTCCCTCCTCCCTATGTCTTCCCTGGCCTCCCATCTTGATCCATGCCCCTCTTCATGTCTCCTCTCCGCCTTCTCTTCTGCAGGCTAAACATGCCCAGCTCTTTCAGCCACTCCTCATAGGGCTTGTTCTCCAGACCCTTGATCCTTTGAGTCTCTCTCTTCCTCTGGACACATTCCAGCTTAGAGTCAACATCTCCCTTCTACTGTGGTGCTCAGAATTGGACACGGTGTGATTCCAGGTGTGGCCTGACCAAAGCAGAATAGAGGGTTAGCATGACCTTAAGAGTTGACAGTAAGAGTTGAACAGGTTTTACAGTCAAGAAGTTTTTTCCTAATGTTCATCTCCTTTCCTGTCATTTGAACCCATGGTTCCATTGAGTCGTAATTTCCAGAGCAGCAGAAAACAAGCCTGCTCCCTCTTCCTTAGGGCATTCATTAAGATATGCAAACATTGCTGTCATGTCTCCTCTTTGACACAACTTTCACTGCCATGGTTTAATCCCATGATATCCTGGATTTTCCACATTTGGCTATGGAAACCTTCTGGAAGAGCATGGGCCAGTCACACTCTCTCAGCCTCACCTGAGAATATCACCTTGAACAAAGCTTGTTAGAAGTGAATCTCAACTGTGCAATGAAGGCGGTTTGATGTTTTGGAAAGGCACAATCTTTTGGAGATCATAACCTTTTGGAAAACCAGAATCTCCATGACCTTTTGGAGAAAAATGGCATTCACAAAAATGTGAAAATCATAACTTTTTGTAAGAGAATGGTCTTCCAGAGCAGAGCCAAAAAACCCATTTGAGTAAAATCTTCTCAGAGATATATTGTCTGCGTAAATGGCTGAGACAGTGACTCCTTAGCTTTCTGATTGTTCAGTCCACACAAACACACACTCTGTTGACAATGACACGCAGTGTTTACAACAGACTCTGCAGAAAATGCTTCAAGTGTGCTTCATAAAAAGAAAACACAGCTTCTTTAACAAGTCCTGCTACAACAACAACTAAACAAAACTTTATTTATATACCGCTCTATCTCCCCAAGGGGACTCAGAGCATGTTTCCAAGTAACATAATCAATACATACAAAGAAAACAGCTTAAACATAAAATTAACAAGACAATATAAGCATTAAAAACCACAATAGCACATATATTTAAAATAATCCTGCCTGTTAAAGGCAGTTTAAAAGGCCGGGCCAGGCTAATGCGATTTTAGAGGGCCTGGGAAATTAGGTAGGGTCTATGGCTGTACATTTCCAGGGCCTAATAGAAGAAAGGGACCTGGGTAATTGATAGAAAAAGATATGGCCAATTTTAACAGTATCTGGGGCAGAGCTAGAACTAGTCGTTCTCAAAGGTTTGTTTAAACCACCAGGTTTTCAGGTTCTTACGAAAGGAGGGGAGGGATGGGGCCTGTCTTATTTCTCCAGGAAGGGTGTTCCAGGGGAGAGGGGCCACCACCTAGAAGGCCCTCTCTTTTGTCCCCACCAACCATGCTTATGACGGTGGTGGGAGCGAAAGGAGGGCCTCCCTGGTTCATAGAGGGAGATGCGATCGCGAAGATAGGTGGGGCCCGAATCCCTGTGCCGGCAGGACTGAAGACCGACAGCTCGCAGGTTTGAATCTGGGGAGAGCGTGGATGAGCTCCCTCTATCAGCTCCAGCTCCGCATGCGGGGACATGAGAGAAGCCTCCCACAAGGATGATAAAACATCAAAACATCCTGGCGTCCCCGGGGCAACATCCTTGCAGACAGCCAATTCTCTCACACCAGAAGCGACTTGCAGTTTCTCAAGTCACTCCTGACATGACAAAAAAAAAAGTTCATAACCTGCACCTTGAATTTGGCTCGGCAACTTATCGGCAGCCAGTGAAGCTATTTTAAAAGGGGTGTTGTATGCTCCCTATAGTTTGCTCCAGTAAGGAGCCTGGCTGCCGGCCGTTGGAGCTTCCGGGCCATCTTCAAGGGCAGTCCCACGTAGAGCGCATTGCAATAGTTGAATCTGGATGTGACCAAGGCATGGACCACACTGGCTAAGCTGATTTGTTATCTGAATATGTTTGATTTCTATACCTATTTCATTTACCTATATTTCTCAGTAGGAAAGAGGTCAAGAGTGGGAAAAGTTTAAGAAACCTTGCTCTAGACCAGTATTGTTGACCTAAACTGGTAGTGACCCTCCTTCCTGGCCCAGTTTGCACCAAACCGTATATGATTACAATTTTTGTGTTTGGTGTTGCTGTTTGCTGCATAGTCCTGGTTTCTGTATTTGAAAATAATAAACAGATGAATACAATCCCATCCTCCTAGAAAGAGCTGGACCGTTTTGGCCTCTTTGAAAAGAAATACTCCCTTCTTCTTTCTACTCTGTAACAAGCTTAACTGTGAACATGAAAAGGCTGGCTGAAGTATGTTAAGGGAGAAGCTTTTTCCTATTAAGTATCCAGGGATATTCCTTTGAGGTCATTAAGCTTCTGCTTTGTTTAGATGGCACAGCAAATTGAAACATGTTGCATAAACTGTAACAAACTGTTTGCTTGCTTTGACTGGAGGCTGTAGAGATACCTAGAAAGAACACATCTCAAGGAATCTCTAGGTCCTCCAATGTAATTCCAGTAGGTGTTGACTAGAGGCGGTAGAGATATCTAGAAAGAACATTTCTCAAAGAATCTCTCTGTCCTTCCATGTGATTCTAGTTGATCTTGACTGGAGGCTGTAGAGATACCTAGAAAGAATACGTCTCAAGGAATCTCTAGGTCCTTCAATGTAATTCCAGTAGGTGTTGACTAGAGGCCGTATAGATACCTAGAAAGAACATGTCTCAAGGAATCTCTAGATCCTTCAATGTGATTCTAGTTGATCTTGACTTGAGACCGTAGAGATACCTAGAAAGAACACTTCTCAAGGAATCTCTCAGTCCTTCCATGTGATTCTAGTTGATCTTGACTGGAGGCTGTAGAGATACCTAGAAAGAATACGTCTCAAGGAATCTCTAGGTCCTTCAATGTAATTCCAGTAGGTGTTGACTAG